CGTCCATGGGATTCGAACTCTAGACCTGCCACTTGGAGAGGGTGACGACTAGACCACTACACTAAGTCGCCACACCTCATTTCCAGGTTTTTACTTTCACACACTCATGTATGTATACTACATACATAAAGTCTAGAGTGCTAGCATCTTTACTTAGGATGCGAAAGAAAGTTTTTATTTTTTTTATTATTTTTACATACTGACATTTTTATACATTTTTATGATTTAATATTTAACTAATTATTCTATTTTAGACATTTCTTAAAATTCTTGCCATTTTCACGTTTGTTTCATGTGGCTTCTAGGGGCTTATACTGTTCAAGAAGCTTGTTTCACTTTTATCCGCTTTGCTATTCTTGTAATACGAACTTATTTTAACTAATCATTAAGCATTCTTTTAAAATTTTCCCACCATTTTCACACATGATTAGATTGTTTCTTGAGTTCTTAAGAGCTTGGGCGGGTAAACTTTACTTCTATCTTCAGGAACATTAAGAGAACCAGACAAGGCATCCATTTACAAGACAGTAACCCAGACCCATAATACAAGGTTAGCGATTGATAAGTATGATGTATTTGTGACGGATAGTACTTGGTTGTTTAAATCACTAATTATGAACGATTTGTAACAATTACGTATTGGGTGTGGAAATTTTAATCGAGTTATTTAATATATATATAATACTACATTTACTATATTTACTTGATATAGATATCCTATAATCCAGTATAAGTTATTAGCTAAGCTGCTAATCCATTAATATTATATGGCTTAGTCTAGCCATAAAAATTTAATCATCTTTGATAGCATAGGTATAAACCATAAACTAGTTCACGATTGGCATAGGTGTAAACCGTGAACTTGTTCACGATCGACTTTGATAGCATAGGTATAAACTGTGAACTAGTTCATGATTGACTTTGATGGCATAGGTATAAACCGTGAACTAGTTCACGATTGACTTTGATGGCATAGGTGTAAACCATGACGATTAATTTTGATGGCATAGATGTAAACCGTGAACTAGTTCATGATTGACTTTGATAGCATAGGTGTAAACCGTAACGATTGAATTTGATAGCATAGGTGTAAACCGTGAACTAGTTCACGGTCAATATTGATGCCATCAAAATCAATCGTGAACTAGTTCACGGTCAATATTGATGCATCAAAGTCAATCGTGAACTAGTTTACGGTCAATATTAATGCCATCAAAGTCAATCGTGAACTAGTTTACGGTCAATATTAATGCCATCAAAGTCAATCGTGAACTAGTTTATTACCCTAATCTCTAATTTATATAGTAAAATCTATATCCTACTAATGGTAGTTATCGCAAATCCCATCAATCGTTTACATCGATTTGAGTTTGATCCGTCTCTAATGCCTAGTGATCTTGTAATTGGATCTGGATGAATTTGGTACCATTCGAATCATCTCAATAAGATAATTCAAATGGTACCAAATTCATCAAAATCTAATTCAAAGATCACAAAATATCAAAAATAAATCAAATTCTAAATTTAATTGTCTAAATTACCAAAGTCAATTGTGAACTAGTTTACGATTAACATTAAAGTCCCAACGATCATAAACTAGTTTACAATTGGGCAACAATGAAATCATTCAAATCTGGCTACTAGAAATGTAAGGTGCAATAAAACCTGCACAGCATACAAAATCTATATTAACAAGCGATATTCTAAATATATTTGATCATTTGATCAAGCCCAATTTAATAAAATCGGTTAACAATCATAAAACATTTCCATCATAACTGTGTTTACTGTATTGAAAGCAGGGTTGGTGGTGCATTACATATATACCAGCAAGATCTTCTGGTGTACTATTGTCTGATGCTAGTAGCATCTATAGATACTGATGAAACCATAAGTTTCGTTCTAGTTTGTCACTGACGAAATGACGAAATTATTATGTTTCGTCAGTTCATGAGTTTCGTCAAGCATCATTAGTAGCATCTTTTAACAAAGATATAAGAACTAATTTTTGGACAAAATTTATTTATTTTTAAGCTTGAACCCTTTAAAAAAAATTATTTGCACTCTGATCTATAATAACAATGCACCTAACCAATTTTTCCATTAGCACAACCCTTTCTGTACAATTTAGATAATACAATAGGGGGTGATAGGTGACTAATTAGGAAGGTGTAAATCTGGGAACTGCAACACTGCGGGAGAGAGACCCGGGATATATAGCAATATATATATTAGATTAGTACTGGTACTAGTTAGTTGCAGGGATTTAATGGTTAGCCCTGACCCCAAGTGCATGGGTCAAACTATGGCAGTAGGTTACTGAAGCCTGGGTGAATACATGGGTGGGACATGTACCCTAGCAAAAAAGTTAGTCACCAGCTTCAATGTTGAGGTTTGGTGCATCTCCACAATTAAGTGGTGCAGCTATCACATCTAGGGCTTAGTAAAGCAACTGGGTGGGGTCAGGTGTTTCAGTAATCATTAGTTCTATGGTACAGGCACCTGTCGTTTAGAAATAGTTCTCATACGCTATTTGCCGACAGGCTTAGAGTTTATCACTTACCATTTATATTAGTTAGCTAGTATCATTTGTACACATGAATTAATTACTAAAATAAATATCTGGCAAGATACGCCAAAGTTAAAAAAAAAAAAAAAAAAAAAACCTGGAAATTAATATTTTGCCCTAAAAGTTATAATTGATGTTATTGTTAATTTCAACAATTATAATTTTTTAGGGGTAAAATAATTAACTTCCAGGTTAAGGCATTGTTTTTCTTCGTTCTCTTTATTAGTATTATATTGCTTTTTATATAAATTTTTAAGTAAAATAAGCCATTACATTATTATAAAACATGTATAAATATAGGTCTTTTTTTTTTGTTTTTTTCTTTGAAAAAAAATAGAACCGTTAATCTCATTTTTAAACAAGATTATTTCTTATAAACCAAATCCTATAAATACAGTCATACCTAAGTTATATCCTTACTGAGTTATATCCCAACCTGAGTTATATCCCCATTTTTTAGCAGAATAAACTTCCTTTTTTTATATAGTTTATATATTAAGTTATATCCCCACCTTAGTTATATTACTAAAAATGCTCTGAAAAAAAGAAGTGATATAAATCAGGTATGACTGTACAAATAAACAGCCAACCATATGTAAAATTTGCCAGGAAAATATTTGCCCAAGTTTTAAAAAATTAATAACGATTCTAACTTGCAAATATTTTTTTCACAAGGAATGTATTGAGTATAGCTTCAGTGTTTGCCCGCTCTGTCAGGCAGAATTCAATGAAAAAATGCAAGGTGGGTGGGTCTGGGATGTGATCTTGTAACAAATAGATGCCTCGTGACTTCGTTCACGGCATCTCATTTTTACATTATTAATTACAGTAACTACATCGCAAAACAATATAGCGAACATCACACCACCTACCACGCCGTGCATTGCACCAAAAACTACACCAAATAACATGTCATCTGTTGTTATCAGGCAACCACGCTGTCTGCTGTTTCAACCACGCCACCTACCACGCCGCCTGCCATTTCAACCACGCCGCCTGCTGCTACAACCACGCCGCCTACTGCAACCACGTCACATGCTGCTATTACCACACTGCCTGCTACCCTATATTGCATGCTGCTCCTACTTGCCTGCTATCCCTACACCGCCTGCTACCTCTACACTACCTGCTACCCTTACACTGCCTGCTACTACCACACCACATGTTGCTACCACCACCATATCATCTACTGCTACCACCACCACACCATCTACTGCTGCCACCACTACACTATCTACTACTGCCACTGATAAAAAGTTAGACAAACTATTGCAAATTATAAATGAACTCAGAGACAATCAAATGATGGATATTGATGATATGTCAAATATTAGGTAGGATTATGTTATGAAAATAATATAATTTATTGAATTTAAAAAAAAACAATCTGCACATGCAATATGTAAATAAAAAAAGCATGAACTGTTACATAAGACCTGTACAATAATATATAGTTATTGGATGCAAAGCAGCCAATAACGAGAATTATTTGTAAAATAATTCATTATCTGGCTGTGAATTTGATATGTCAGCTTCTGGGCCCCAAAGGGGCCCAGAAATGACACATATCAAATTCGCTGCCAGATAAACAAGTTATTGGCTGCGTAGCATACAATAACGGTGTTATCCGGTGGTTTACGACGATTGTGCTTGCCAAATGACTCGAGTTTTTGGTAGTGATTATGTAAGCTGCCAAATAACGAAGTTATTTGGCAGATGACGTAATCACTGCCAAATAACTCAAGTTATTTGGCAAGTACTATTATAGTAAGCTGCCGGATAATGAGTTTTTATTAAATTATTTTTTTTATTCTTATTAATTATAAAATAGAAGAAGCATCTGCCCTGGTTCAACTCTATATTAATGCAAGTCGTGCTGTCAAGTATACAAGAAAGAGAAATAATTTAGAAACAATAAGTTGGTACAAATATACAGAAGAATTCAAAGGAAGAATAAATCAAATTTTAAGCAAATGTCAAATCTCCGAAAAGACAGCAAAGTTGAATATTTATAAAGAAATCTATAAATATCTTCCTTTGGTTTCTGTAGAAACGTTAAGGAAGAGAACTCAAAAGTCTAAAACAATATATAATATGTTTAAGGATATTGGGGGGGAAATCCAGAATTGAATGACTTAGAATGTTTACTGCTAACCAACTTTCTCTACTTACTCTGCAGCAAATTGCGTTTATCAAAGAGCAAATTAATTAAAATATTTGCTTATTTACCATTTTTTTAAAAAATATCATTTTTTTCTATATACTTTTGTATTTAAAAAAATTTGGTATAAATTTGGGGTGCTTGTATAATGATATATATATTATATATACATACATATAATACACCATATTGATATACGTTTACTTTATAATTTTAAATTTTAAAAGAAAAGATGCTTAATTTTGAAATTTTAATCAAAAATTCAAAATTAAGCATCTTTTCTCTTAAAAGTTAAAACTATAAGGTAAACGTATGCTGATATAATGTATTTTTATACATAGAACAAGTTTACTTAGAACATGAAGGTAGAATTAGATAGTAAAATTTTGTGGATTGTAATATTTTTCATAATTTTATTAATAAAATTACTGTATGTAAAATATCACAATTCACAAAATTTTACTATCTAATACCTTCATGCTTTATATAAACTTGTTCTACATATAAAGATATATAATATTAGCATATGTTTACCTTATAATTTTAACTTTTAAGAAAAAAGATGCTTAATTTTAAATTTTTGATCAAAATTTTAAAATTAAGCATCTTTTCTCTTAAAATTTAAATTTATAAAGTAAATATATATCAATATGATGTATTTTTATGCGTAGAACAAGTTTACTTAGAGTATAAAGGTAGATTTAATTAATACAATTTTGTGGATTTTAATATTTTCCATAATTTTATTAATAAAATTATAAAAAATATTGTAATTTTTAAACCTTTACTTAGTAAATCTCTAAATAAAGTTGTATAATAGAGTTTTGTGATCAAAATAATGATTAAACTGTTAAAATCAGCTCATTAGATCACAAGATATAAACATTTTAGTCTTTATAACTATATGCTTTCTTTTATATAATCACAAAGACAAAAATACTTATATCATGATCTACTGGACTAATTTTAAAATTCTAACTGCCATTTTGATTACAAGATACTCCTCTACAACTATTATTAGAAGTTGAAAGAATTTACTTAATAAAAAAAAAATTTAATTAATAAACTTCAAATTTGAAAATTTTACTATGTTTTGTCACCAAAAATTTTAAATAAATATGAAATTTAATTGGCTAATAGGGTGTCAGATGTGGATGGGTAGGGGTAGCCTATTAGTAAAGATAAATCAGCTAATTTCTAAAAGCCTTCTTAAATATATTTAAAGTCTTCTAGAAGAGATTATAGTAAGCAATATAATCCTGAAGCTTGTTATTGTTGCAGCTCTTATTGACTGCTAGCTTGTTATTGTTGCAGCCCTTATTGACTACAATACAAACTATATAACACACCCAACTTAATGTGAGAATAAGAGTTTAACAACCTTTGTAGTATTTTATTTATTTAAAATCAAAAAGGTAAATCTTTATTTTTTTTATATTTCTTATATATATATATAAAATTTGACTTTAAATTAATTGCTTTATAATTTTTTTTCATAAATTTGTTCTTCCTTAATTGATGATCCGCCAGTCACCTGATGCATAATTATAGTATAACGTGACACAGATCACTATGTAAATTACATAAGCAGGAAATGTAGAGATTTTTTAATAATTATTCAAAGAAAACTTTTTTTTGTACTAAGTTAATTGACAAGGTCGATTAATTAAAAGTTGTAGAGCTCGCTGAGGTGCATCTAATGGTGGTTAAATTATCAAAATCGGCCTAGTGGTTCGCGAGATATAGCTAAAAAACGATTGGCTAACTATGTAAACAATAGTTTGTTTATAGTCAACCAATCGTTTTTTAGCGATATCTCGCGAAACACTAGGCCGATTTTGATGATTTAACCACCATTAGATGCGCCTCAGTGAGCTCTACAACTTTCAATTAATTTATTGAATGATTAAATAATTATGGTTAATCAATGTTTTAAAACATAATCGTTGAAGTGGATCGATTTAAACTTCATACTCACCCTGGTAATTTATTTGAACAATTAAATAATTACAATTAATCATACATTCTCTTGAAATACAATCGTTAAAGTGAATTGAATTAAACTTCGTTCTTACCCTGGTAATTTATTTGAACGATTGAATAATTATAGTTAATCACATATACAAATGTTAAAGCAAATCGAATTAATCTTTGTACTCACCCTAGTAATTTATTTAAACAATTGAATAATTACAGTTAATCACACATTTTCTTGAAACACAATCATTAAAGTGAATTGAATTAAACTTCGTATTTACCTTGGTAATTTATTGAATGATTGGATGATTACGGTTAATCAATATTATGAAACACAATCATTAAAGCAAATTTAATTAAGCTTTATACTCACTCTAGTAATTTATTTGAACTATTAAATAATTATGGTTAATCACAAAACACAATTGTTAAAGTGAATCGAATTAAATTTTATTCTCACCCTGGTAATTTATTTGAACAATTGATTAATCAATGTTTTGAAATATAATCGTTAAAGTAAATCAATTAAACTTCAACTCACTCTTGAAATTTATTTGAACGATTAAATAATTATGGTTAATTAATGTCTTGAAATACAATTATTAAAGTAAATCGAACTAAACTTCGTTTTCACCCTGGTAATTTATTTGAACAATTGAATTATTGCGGTTAATTTATTTATTTAAACACAATCATTAAAGCAAATTGAATTAAATTTTGTACTCACCCTGGTACTTTATTTAACAATTAAATAATTATGGTTAATCTTAATCAATTATCTTGAAACATATTCATTAAAGTAAATTAAATTAAACTTATACTTACCCTGGTAATTTATTTAAATAGTTAAATGATTACAGCAAATCAATATCATGAAACACAATAATTAAAGCAAATTAAACTAAACTTCATACTTACTTTGGTAATTGTTTTGAACAATTAAATAATTACAGTTAATTAATATCTTGAAACATATTTATTAATGTCATGAGGTTAATAAATGTATATGGTTATATACTCAATTCTGCTCAGAGGTTCGTTAAGTCTTGCACTCGCTTGTACGCAGCTATGTTCCTTACTTTAAACACTGTCCTCTATGATATAGTAACTTCCTATGTCCTTACTAACTCAAGGCACTAAGTTCTATAATTAGGCACAGGTTATTATTTGAGAAAACGAAGTCTTGGTTCAATCTGCAAGATCAAACCTATATTTATTTAATTCCATTGTTTACATCTAATCACGTTTCACAATCAGTAACATGATCAGACGCGTGATATTCATTGAACCCCGGCACTACAAAATACAGGGGTAATCTAAAATACCATCTCATGAGCTAGATCCCCTAGTACTTCGTCCCCGAAGTTACTACCATTAACACATTTATTTTTCTACATTCTAAAACATACAACATTCTCTATCTAGAGTTCATCATCCATTTACCTCTATCTTCCAAATTATTACATACAAAAATTCTTCGACGAAGTTTAAGACCCTTCACAACATCATACCACAACTTTAATATACCATCAAACATCCGTTTAATCCTTATCACTACTATTACATACTCATCACATACAACACTAATGTTCAACTTTCCTTTTATTACTACTTTAGCATCACAATCAACACTACGTCGACATACACCTCCAAGATTATATACAACACACATCTTCTCGATCAACGTTTTACAACCATTAGCTTTAACCCATCGCTCCGATTTAGATAACTTCACAGAACCATTATCATAAACACTCATCTTCATCACATCATTCTTTATTTTGAAAAATTGTTCATTCTTTAATTTGATTCACTTTTTATTTTCACCAAATCATTTATCACTCGTTACTCTAATACAATTTTCATAACAATAATCAACAGATCATTCTCCACCAACATTTTGATCCACATCTTTATATTCGTTCTTTTCATCTTTCTTAATCTATTTACCTTTTCTATTCCACCCTTCAATGTCTATTTCATGTTGATAACACCATCTAATATCATCACGTCCATCAACTTCAGCAGGTTTCAAATTCCACACAAATGCCTTTTTACCTATCATCATATCTAATTGATATCAATAACAATCATTATCAATTTTTAAATACCACTTGAGTACCGTTCAATCACCTTCAGTAAATTTTTGAAAATAAATGAATGCTATATTTTTATTTGATTCGACTCCTATTTCATTTTGATAACAGTGTCCAACAACATATGATTTTTTATAATTGTCCAATTCGGCGGGTCTTTGATAATTAACGAACATCTTACATTCATCATTTTCATTTCCAATTTTATATTCGCCCTTTTCAGCACTAATTCCATGTTTATAGCAAGATCTAATCACAAATGTTCGATTAGTGTCATTTAACTCTGCAGATTTTACATACTATTCAAATACTTTATCATCTTTGTCAATCTCTTTTTTATCACAAAGATCTATCGTATTTTGACTACCAATTTTTAAATTAGGTAAAATTTCCTTTCTCCATTTATGATTTCCTCTGTTATCATTAATATCGTTAACATCATCTTTTATTTCTCGTTTAAACATTTTAGGTTCGTCCATTTGAACTCTAATTCTATCTTGATCACTTCGTCCAAGATTGTTGATTTCGTTAGAAATTCCCATCCCACCGGATTTTTGGTAATGTATGAATGCTTTACATTCATCTTTATCAATATCCAGATTCGTCGATTTCAACGATTTCAACATCAATTCCACTTCGATGACAATATTTAATAGTTTCACAACCATTATTATATCCTTCAATATAACTTTCCATATCTGCAGGTTCTTGATAATGAATGAATGCTTTTTTCTCAACTTTTTCGACACCAATATCAGGATTATCATTCATTGTTTTATCATTTATCACCGGGAAGTCTTTAATTTTATTCTTTTCTGATTCGCTTGTTACTTTAATATCTCTATCACTTACTACATTCTTCACTTCTTTCTTTACACCTTTCATTTGTGCTTCCACTATTAACGCCAATTGTTTTGCTTGATCGTAGGTTTCAGGTAAAAGAGCTTCGATCTCATAAAGGTATTGCCTTTTTAAACCAAGGACATACCAAATCCGTTTTTCTTCTTCTGGAAGTTCACCATTCCATAACATTATATGACCATTATATCGTTTAGTAAACTCTTCTATGCTTTCTTCGTCACCTTGCTTTATCCCTAATATCTGCATCATTTGGTCAACTATGTCTTTGTCGTCATAATAAATCGTTTCCATTTTGAACTCTAATTTCGGCTTTATGTACAGCCTCACTTACAACAGTTGCTGTCTTTACAGCTTGTTTCTACAAAAGTTACTATTCTTACTGTTTATTTCTGCGAGAGCCACTGCCTTTGCCCAGGTTCTTCTGTCATGAGGTTAATAAATGTATATAGTTATACACTCAATTCTGCTCAGAGGTTTGTTAAGTCTTGCACTTGCTTGTACGCAGCTATGTTTCTTACTTTAAACACTATCCTCTACGATATAGTAACTTCTCACATCCTTACTAACTCAAGGCACTAAGTTTTATAATTAGGCACAAGTTATTCTTTAAGAAAACAAAGCCTTGGTTCGATCTGCAAGATTGAACCTATATTTATTTAATTCCATTGTTTACATCTGATCACATTCCACGATCAGTAACATGATTAGACGCGTGATATTCATTGAACCCCGGCACTATGAAATACAGAGGTAACCTAAAATACCATCTCAGTTAAAGCGAATTAAATTAAACTTATACTCACTCTAGTAATTTATTTAAACGATTAAATGATTATGGTTAATCACACATTCTCTTGAAGCACAATCGTTAAAGTGAATTGAATTAAAATTCATACTCACCTTTGTAATTTGTTGAATGATTGAATAATTACAGTTAATCAATATCATAAAACACAATCATTAAAGCGAATTTAATTAAACTTCATACTCACCCTGGTAATTTATTTGAACTATTAAATAATTACAGTTAATTACACATTCTCTTAAAACACAATTGTTAAAGTGAATCGAATTAAATTTTATTCTCACCCTGGTAATTTATTTGAATGATTTATTAATCAATGTTTTAAAACAGAATCGTTAAGATAAATCAATTAAACTTTATACTCACCCTAGTAATTTATTTGAACGATTGAATTATGTTTAATTAATGTCTTGAAATACAATTATTAAAGCGAATCGAACTAAACTTCATTTTCACCCTAATAATTTATTTGAACGATTGAATAATTGTGGTTAATTTATTTCTTGAACTACAATCATTAAGACGAATTGAATTAAATTTCATACTCACCCTGGTACTTTATTTAATGATTAAATGATTATAGTTAATTAATATCTTGAAACATATTTGTTAAAGTGAACTGAATTAAACTTATAATCACCCTGATAATTTATTTGAATAATTTAATGATTACAGCTAATCAATGTCTTGAAACACAATTATTAAAGCAAATTGAACTAAACTTTGTATTTACCCTGGTAATTTTTTTGAACGATTGAATAATTACAGTTAATCAATATCTTGAACCATATTCATTAAAGCGAATCAAATTAAACATATACTTATCCTGGTAATTTATTTGAATGATTAAATGATTATATACATTCTCTTGAAGCACAATCTTTAAAGTGAATCGAATTAAACTTTTATAATTTATTGAATGATTGAATAATTACAGTTGAATATAAAGTACCTGGCGAGTATATCCTATGTAAAAAAAAATTCATATGAAAAATCGCTTAGTATAGAACCCGGGTACTAACTTGAATTTTATCGTGGAATGTATAGTATTCAGAGTACTATAGTCATGCTGTACGGTAAATAAACTTCGAATTAGTAATGCATGCAACATATTTTAATAAAAAAACTTTTTAAATATAAAATTTTTCACCGGGTATTCGGGTTTTGAGACGATAAAATTCATAAATAAAAATTTTTTTTATTAAAAAATTTTTTTTAAAAAAAAATTAAAATCCAGGTTGGCAGGTTATAGAAGGTCAGTTGGTGATATGAAAACCGAAAATGTAAGTTTGTATGGTCTAAGTTAAATATTGAAATTTAATAAAGTATTGGCAAAATTGCCAAATTTTTTTTTAAAAAAATAATAATCTATAGTAAGGGTACTAATAGATATTATATAATATTTTTTTACTATAAGAGTACCCAGTGTTGTATATAGATATTGTTCTGTAAAAATTTCAGAGACACAAACAGTCCTGGATGATATCCCATATTCTGAACAATATCTCAAGTTCATGATGGTGTCTTATATTACAAAGTTTATTAAGCATTCTCATTGGCTAAAAAAGATACTTTTATTATAATATTTAATTGTTTGGGACATTAATATTTTGGCAGACTGTCCATTGTTTATGTCCTTGTCCCATAACAACACTGGGGTACCCTCCTCTTTCTCACATAAAATCAATATGATTGGTCAATTGCAATACATAATACATATTATATATTATATATATATATCATATTAGCGAATTTACAGAATTAATCTAAATTAAAATCTATATATTTAACAATGTGATTGTAAAACTGACTCTAAAATTTTAGCTATAATATGTATTCTGCAATTGTTAAATCCAGAAACCCTAATTTAGATACATTTTGCAAATCTGCTGATATGTTTTTTTTGGTATTAAAATAATTTCATTGTCTGAAAACTTTTTATTAGAATACAGATAATGTTTTATAGTATAATTATAATGATGATATATCAAGTTACACATATACTTTTGATACCTAATTTAAATGATTCACCCAACTAAGAGTTTCACACTATCTGCCATATCTGCATCCCAACTACAGGGGTTGCCTATTTAAGCTATCTGGTTCTAACTACTATTATCAGCCCTCTAACCCAAAGGGTTTCTTCACTAAACTAAGTAGATATTAGTATTACTCCATATTGGATTTTGCACTCTACCTTAGGATATTTAACTATTTTTGAGGTAAACTTAATATAGCAGTACATGTTCTATATATATATCCAGAACCCTGGATAATACTAATAGAGGTACGAGTATTAAACCGGACAAGAAATTTTAAAATTTTGATGGAGGTTATATTATTAAAAAGGCTTTTTAATTGAAACTAGTATTATTAAACCAGATATTAGAAAAAAAGGTCATATGTTTAAAGTAGATATGATTTTATTGAAATAAATATCTAATATTATAAAAGAATCCATATGGTATATTTTTTTGAAATTCCGAAAAGATCTGAAGTAGAAAATAAATGAACCTAAAATATGAACAAGGTTGGGCAAAATTTTTTTGCAAAACCCAAAACGTTCTGACATAAAATTATAAATAATTAAATGGGGCAAATAAATCAGAATTTAAAGAGTACAGGTCTTAAAATAGACAAAATTCGAAGTCTTAAAGCAGACAAAATGGCTGAAAATTTATTATTAACTCATATAGTACCTTTGTTAGTATTATCTGGGGTCCTATATATTTACATACTTGTTCTTATAACTTCTTTCTAATTAGTACTATTGATCTGCTATTCTATATTTATATCTTATACTATTTTTTAGAGTGCTGTCATTTTATAGACATTTCTTAAGCACCAATCTTCCTAATTAGGTGCTCATTATATACTTCTGCCTTTTGTTAGTTTGAAATTATACAGACCGGGTATCTATATTACATCCACTTTCCTTAAACCGATTCCTTAATATTCTCAAACTACCAAACTAGTTAGTCTAGTAAGGTTGGCCTGTTTAGGCTTTAAGTACTTCACAGGCTTCCTTTCTTTAGTACTGCTTCTAGAGTACAAGTTTTCTTTCTCCGGTACAACTTCGGCAGCCAGGTTGGTAAATCTCCTTATTGTAAGATCTTGATGTTCAGTTCTACCAGTTTGTCAGTTCTTAGTCTGATCAGTTTTATAGCATTCTCATAATCCTTACTACTTCTAACTCGAGTCTTGCCAAGCTAGCTTCAGATTTTCAAGTCTTCTCTATCAATATTTTGTTTTAATTCCAGTTTTTTTGCATAACCTGTGTTATCTAAATATTTTTAGAATCTTCTAGTATACTACTTTAGTGTTTTACATAGATTAAATCAAATAAATATTTTCAAGAATCCGGATTCGATCTGCAAATTCGGATTAGATCCAAGTATAGATCCAGATTTGTGTTTAAATAGACAGATCCTCAGATCTAGCTTGGATCCAGTTTAGGTCTAACACTTTTATATATAACAGATTAGATTTCTATGTGAATCTGAATTCGACAGATCTTAAAAATTGTAAATCTGACTTGGATCCATTAAGTGGATCCAGATCAAATCTTGTAGAACACTACACTACTGGCACTAGTGTGACCGGAGTTATAGATACTATAACCCAACTTATCAATAAAGATTTATTACTATAACACAAGTAGTTTTGTTTAAAACATCACTAGTAGGATTTAAATTTAGTATCTTAGTTATAAGCTAGCTTGGGGGTGTAACAACTCCACTACTTTATTTTATTTTTTTTTTTTTTAAGATAATCTTTTTGGTTAATGAATTTATTATAGTTAAATTGGGATTAGTATATTTATAACAATTTTAACTATTTATTTAATACTTTACTATGATCAGTTTATAAAATAAATCAATTATTTTATGGTATTTTTAAATGATAAAATAATT